TTTCATGTAATGTAAAATAAGCTATCGCAACTCGTTTTTATTGAAATTAATGATGTTTATCTTTGCCGGACTGCGAGTAAAAATACACCAGCCATCACCGATTGCTCGATGTTTGACCATTAAAAATTTTATTCATAAGTACAGATAATATTATTCGTGTGGAATACAAGAGAATCTGAATAGGAGGTATAGGCTCCTCCTTGGCGTTGTATATATTGTCATCCAAGGTGAGAGTGGCAATTACATGGAAGATGATTAAATGCTTTTATACCAGCATTCAGCCCTTTAAATCAATGAATTTTCGGCGAGGTAATTGTATAAAAAAAAAAAAAAAATAGGGAAGCCAATCGTTAACTTGGCTCTTGTACCATTTAATTGTGGAAAAAAAAAAGAAAAGAAAAAATGGGAAAGTGAAAATAATGAAAGAAGGTCGATCGGTATGAGGAGGGACCGCGAGAGTGCGCGCGTAGAGATTGTGTACACAGAGGTACAATACCGGGAGAGAAACGCTCGTAGAATCTTCGATAAAATTCCTTTACCAGGAACTAATCGCTTTACCGTTTTTCTTCTCGGACTTCTTTAGATGTTGTTTTTTTCTATATATATATACAACCTTCAAGGCTCGAAAGAAAGTACATACGGTAATTTCTCAATTACGATGTGTAATTGTACTTTTACAAGACACCCTTGAAAGTTTGATGAAGCCCGAAATAAGCATTGAGTTGATTACACATGGAGCACTGCATTGAATGAAAAGTAATATAATGAATTAGCGCTCCGTATACATAAAGGCATTTGTAATGTAACAAAAAAATCGGCTGTCGTTTCTTTCACTTCTCAATAACTCACGCGTATCCTCTCACCCAATGACGCAAAGGAAGCCGCATCATCCAACAGTCCAATCCTCGATCGATCCATCAAAGGGTTATTTTTCCAAATCAACCAACAAGTAATTTTCAATTGCCTACGCAGGAAGATCGTAATAAACTCGCTCGTTAAAACGCAGAGAACAAGACGCAACTAATAATGATATACGCGCGAGTGTGCTTTCATTTCTCGCGCACATGTATATATATATATATTACAGACACAAGTACATCGTGTGTTTCTCCTCTCGGTCTCTGTTGTGTGTTAAAAGTGAGAGACGCCGGTGCACGTAGTGTTAATTTGGAATACACGCGGCAGTTCTCGGGGCTCATTAGTCGCTGTTTCGCACCGGCACACAAACACATGGCACATTAGCGGTCTCTCGCCACTTAACACCCTCTATATGGCATCGCCTCTCCAAACTCACGGAGGTGGGTGTGTACGTGTATACACATTCGAAGTAAAAGGGGAGGAAGGAAGAAATAGAGGTATTTACCGTAAAAAATAAAGTAACGAAGCTGCTTTTGCGCGCCGGTGTGTGCGGGCGTCTATTTAAATTTGGAGAGACAGCCGCAATTTCGTGATTGCTTTTGATAGCTATACACCCCACTTTATAAATATATACCACGTCGTGTACAATATTACACGTGTGGGTGTGTGTACATAATATACCTGCCACCCGCGCGGGCTGCACTGCAGGATGATATTAGGATATTGTTTCCCTCTCTCTCTCTCTCTCTCTCTCTCTTCCACTTCCACTTTGTGTGCACCAACGTGTGTGCGTGGACAGGTCCAACGACTCATTACAGTAATGACACGTGTGCATCAATTCGCATTAATATTCTAATGGACGCGAGGCAAGAGTTACGAGGACGCACGAGAGTTGTGTCGAAAGAGAGGGAGATGGAGTGGTACGGGAGAAACGGGTGGTGTGCGAAACGAGAGGGAGAGAGAGAGAGAGAGAGAGGGATCGGAGGTAGGGAGATAACAGGTATATAGCGGCCAGAGACAGGCCAGAGATAAATGGAGATTGCAATGGAGATGCCTCGCTTCCTCCCGCTTTCACCTCCTCTCTTTGTGACACCATGCACTCATCCAAGCTTACCCACTACGTCCCTTACATGTACAAGTCTCTCTGTACAATTCACGTATGCCTATATATATATCATATTTATACGCGCACTCTGACAGCCATTCGGGGTCCGCGATGTGTTATTATTGCCATTGTTATTGATACGCGCAAACGACATACCGGACAATGGCGCGTCTAATAATAATTAGTACGTCTGTTCATGCGGCGTTATTTGACGCTGTGCCTGTGCAAACTGCGTGCGATAATCGTGACGATTGTATGTAATGGTCGTCCGATGGTATGATATGTACTTTTGCAATCAGAGCCGCGCTAATGGTAAATGGTTGTCGAATTGAATGGCATCATTGCAGTGTTTGGAACGGTACTCGTGAATGGCAGAGACGATGGTACCTATACACACACACACATATATATATATATATATACGTAATTACACGGAGACAGGAGTTTGTACGCGGCTATGCAACGGGACATCGGAATCAGTATGAAAATCTCATAAGCATTGGTGCGTAAGATGATGCTTTTTTTCTATCTTCCCGAGAGAAAAGTGAATCTGAGCACTTTTTAATTCAAAGTGTACCCGCGTACAAAAGAAGAGAGGCTTTAAACGCGCGTACATATATTGGAAAGAGAGAGAGAGAGAGAGAGAGAGAGAGAGAGAGAGAAAAATAGCCCGAGGTCGAAGATAGGTACACCAGATTACATCGGCTCGGTGGTGCACTTGTTGCTCGCTCACTCGCGGCGTTTCCCATTATACTTTTTTTTTTTTTCGCTCATCTCCTCTCGGCTCCGGCAACATCGCGAGCGAGAAAAAAAAAGGACAGGCTGAGAGAAACGCGGCGACTATGTGGATACCGGGAACTTTTTTTTTTTTTTTTTTTTCACCTGCAACAAGCTGCATCGTCGGGGTGCTTTTAACGCTCGCGCGCGTTTTTCGGCTCTACCTCTCCCCTTTCCTCTTTCCTTCCGTATGTATTAATAATCAAGTGTGTGTACTATATATGGAGGCACTACGTACTCAACTATATGGATAAATCGTGGCTTATGTGCATGTAACTATACCAATCACGGATCGGTTGGATTTTTGGTTAATTATCCACTTGCAAAGTTGAGGTATCGGTGAAACGTACGTCAATCGATATGTTTGTTGAAAATTCATACGAGGATTATGTAGTATGTTCATACATGAAAATGTGCATTGTAAAGTGTTTTTGGAACTGTCCCAATTTAGTTTTTTTTTTTTTTTTTTTTTTCAAGCTTTCGACATCTAATTTTTTTTCTCACAGCTGCTTCCACCCCTTTTTTAAGGCAGTATACATCAAACAAAGTAAAAAAAAAAAAATTGTGTTTAAAAAAAAGTAACCGGGTGCACTCTCGATCGATCGAAAAATTCAGTGGTGAAAATCTTAGCACCAAACTACAGAGAAGCAATCAAAAGGGCGAGCGCTGAGAAAAAATTTCAATTTGGCAAATAAAGGATGCCGCATATCGTATACTATATATCAGATCTATATTATATACCATTCAGAAAAAACAATGCCAGCACTTCCTACCCGTATTGCACCTAAACATACAATTCAAAGTAAATACAGGGTTGCCGACAGTATAAATACAATAGACACTGAATAGATGCACATTCAAATTGGCCGCAAATTCACGATAGGCGCAACAGGTTTATCAATCTACATTGACTGTCTCATTATCATAACTGTATAGCACTACATGATAGAAAAAAGACGGGGGGGGGGGGTAGATAAAAACCAAAGACAGTACAATGTTGGACACACACGCGCTCCGTCGTAAATCAGCAGCTGTAAGCATTAAGCAAGAATAGCTCGTATTATACAGTTGGTTGGACTGTATTGTGTACATATCATTATTATAATCCTGATGCAGTACCTATCCTGTTGATTCATTAGTCATATGGATTTTTAGTTTCCTTTCTTTTTTTAAAGCCTGCAAGGAGTAGGCACCTATGCAGCGCTCAACCAACAATTACAGCAGCAATTTCCCACTTGATGTCGCGGTATAGACTATAGAGGGTGCACACATGGATCGCTGCAGCAGCAATAAGAACGAATTAATCACGGCGAGCCGAGCTATATACGTATATGTGTGTATATCCATTCGGAACTCGATACAGAGGATAGTTGTATAGGGAGTCATGTTCCGCGGTCACGGGACATTTTGAATGATGATGACCTTCGCAATGGAATGCAGCCGGGGTTAACGAGGGGTGCAGCAGCGGGAATCTCGTTGGAACGTTAACAAAGTTAGCCGGCTCGAGAGAGAGAGAGAGAGAGAGTCCCTGCAAAACGCACGTCATCGCGCGTAACGACCGATTAGTGCGGCTGCGGTATGCGCGTTGTATATATGGTACACGAGAGTGAAAGAGACAAGAGGAGGGTACACCGCTAACTCGCATCGGCACCCTCTCTCTCTTTTGTACCTACATTGGATCGCTATTAAATTATACGCTAACCGAGTTATCATTACCACATACGTATTGCATATGTGTGTATTATATATACTATAGGTGACACCCCTGCACCGATGTCGTCGATTGTGATATGGTTGTAGGACCTGTGTCATCGAATTATTTTCGACGCGTTTCGAGCGACAGGACACGTAAGTTTAATGGCTAAACGCGATTGCAACAACCGAGGAGCACCTTATATTGCGTGGATAGGATTTTTCCTTTCTTTTTCCCTCGCACGAAGGAAGAGCGGATGTTGTTCCCGAGCTTATTGTTATTTCTCGCGCGTTGAGGTTTGTGAAACACTCGAAGTATCAACAGTCACTGCGCAAACACCAGCCAAAGTGCGAGACGCCGTCGTTTCTCCGAGGCCTCCTCTTCGGGCCGGGCCTGAGAAAACACTTGAAATCTACGTTTCGGTTTGATTATTTATTTTTCGGAGGATTAATTTTTTCTTTTTAATTTCCAAGACAGACGAGTCATCTCCCCACGTCCTAATCGATCCTGTACATTACACTTCGAGAATCTCACGAGTACACACGTAACAATTGAATTTTTACTCACGGCAAACCAAAGCTGATTATCGAAATGGTGAGTCTGATGTTCATACTAACCTGAAACAAAAAAAAAAAGAGGATAAAATTAGTTTACAGCTGCAAAGATAAAATGCGTGTGTTTTTTAAAATATGTCACGTGTTTTTGTTTGTTCAGCGAGACTTTTGCATAAATAATTTTAATAAATAACTCGTAAAGGAGTGCAGAGCCACAAAAATACACGATAAAACGAGAGATTAATTGCTACCGTTGTTGTTTAAGTGCTCAGAAGTGGTAGCCAAAAAAAAAAAAAAAAAAAAGTCCAAATGGTTCTCTGTGGCCTACCGCTCCTCGAGCTTTATACCTAATGCATAAGAACAGCTGTCATCGAAAACATAGCGACACAAGTATACATTATAACGAGCACTTGCAGCAGCGGAGAAAGATCGGGGTATATTTAGATAGTTTTATTGCCAAAATAATAAACGACGGAGTATAGCTGTGCGGCGTTATTTTTCTCTCGTCCGTCGTAAATAACGATGGTTTTTGGCACTTCTCCCGAGGGACGGAAGCGGCGACTTTGCCATGCGGCTCAACGACCTTGGCCGACATCTAGCGACAGCATGTCATACAGTTGTAATGATGTGTATATTTAATGGATGCACTTACTACTTAATCTTGTGTCGAACGGTATGTGAGTTTGACAACCGATTGGCTTAATGTCACACATATAGCATTCGATTGTGGAAATGGATATATGAGAAAAGCTTCAGCTGCGAATCAAGAGCTAAATAAGCTGTGGTGTCAAGCTCATTTATCTCCTATATTGTGTGCTTATAGGTGCGAAATACTCCACACAAGTTTTTTTTTTTTTTTTTTCAGCAAAAAATAATAATTTACTTGGGGTTTCGATAAAAACTACTTTCAATATAGTCACCCTCTGGTTTATTGTGCAAAGAAGGTATCATTGTAGCCTATTTTAATAATTCCATTATTTTCCCTCTACAGTGGAATCATCGCTCACGTGCGTGTATATATGTATATTTTAAGTCGCACGGCGTGCTTTTTCCTTTCGTGCTATTTTACCCACTATATACACTCGTCGCACGTGTAAATGTATCTTGGCGACTTTTCACAGTAGGTAGATGAAAAAAAAAAAAAAATAAAAAAAATAAGGGGAAGGGGAGAACAACCCAAGCGGGATCGGATTACAAAAAGCGCGCGCGAAGGGAAAGAAATGGATGTACGTCGCGTCGTCCTTTCTTCTTCTTCTCCTCGTCTGTTCTCCTCTCACTCGTCGCCCGATTTTTTCCTCACCGACAGTTTTGACCCAGGAAGGGAATGAAACTGATTTCTCCCTCCCTCTTTCACAGCAGAATCGAGGAATGGGACTTCCACTTGGTTGCTCCTGAATAGTCCGTTAACCTAAGGTGATGGGTTATTGGTCGAGCAAAGCCACCCTCCTCCCCTATACCCTCTTATTTTCGTCTATATGTATTCACTCTTCCCGAGCCTCGTGGAAAAATTAACAAAGCACCCTCCCTGTATATTGTACCTGCACCAGCTTCGTCTTCTCCCTTCGGCGCCTTTTTCTAATCATTTCCCCCCCCCCCTTCCTTTTTTGCTCCCCGCCATCAGCACCTTCGTACCTATTTTACCTTCCATACCGCACACATCAGCTGCGCGTTGGGTGTGTTGCGTTACAGTAAAGTCCCAGCGGCCGCAGTCCCTGCGCACTCAGAATTGAGCTAATTAATTTAAACCCCTCGTTCGCTCGTTTTTTTTTCGTACAATGATTCCCGGAAAAGCACTCGGGTATGAGAAATTCACGAGGGTCATAATTTCAAGAGAGAAAATAATCACCACCTGGACAAGCCAATCGACTAGAACCAACTCGTCCAATGGTTGACCTATTGAAAGTCGTCTTTGTAGTTACATCATATTATCTCTGGATGCGAATCCTTTTTTTTTACTATTACAGATGTAATTTGTCACCTTTGCCACTCTCTATGACCGATGAGCCCCAACAGTCGTTCGGAATTCGAGAAAAGGTGGAAATTCGAGCAAAGTGATAAATGAGCGCGAGAAAGGTGAAAGGAAGGGGGAAAAAAAAAAGTAGACCCGGAAACTGATACAGCCCACAGAGGTAAGTATATAAGTAAAGAGTTGAGGAAGAGTAGACTGCCTTGCACACAACTATAGGGGAAGGGTGAGGGAGGGAGAGGACAGAAATATCAAAAGGGACTTTTCGTGGCGGGGGTTAAGACGTTGTTCCTCCAACAGGTGGCAGCTGCATCCTCCTCCTCCTTCGCCACCCTCTTCCTCGGCGCTGTATCCTCGAGATTTCCTCTCTGCCACCCCTTACTTATATACACTCCCGCTTCGCTTGACGTGGCAGCGCTGCACCAGCCTTAGCGATAACCCGCGGCGACATCCGATAAAACCGGCTCGTCGCTTCGCTATGGGACTTTGCTTTCTTTTATCCCCCCCCCGCCCCTCCCTTTTTTTCCCTTCTTCTTCTTCTTTCTTCGTTCTTCCCCTCAACCGACTCCATACTCCTCTCGTGTGGGTATATACATGTATACGTATACAAAAGTACAGTTTACACAGGGAGTAGAGAGAGAAACTCTGCGGAGGCCAATGTTCCGGAGGGACGGAAAATAAGCGAAGGAGGAAAACAGCGGACGGATTATCGGCTCGGGAAATAACAAAGCTCCGGACTAAACTAAGGTAACGCGGCAGCACCTTATCCCGCGAGCTGTTGAATAAACGTGTGTATCTCTAAATAAAAGCACCTTTTTTTTTTTTTTTTACCTGTACGCGTACACGCTCCTTGAAAAAGCCAAGTTGCCAGCCTTTTGAGCTTTTGGGTGTGTTTTTTCAATTATTCCAAATAGCGCGCCGGTGTACAGAAACATTATCGGAGGGTCTCGATTGGGAGTGGAGGGACTACTTTCAAGTGTATTTCCTCCTCTTTGAAGTGAAATATACACATACGTGTACAAATTGCTTCCATATGGACGGGACCATTAATTTAATCTAAAGTGGTGGTGATGGCTGCGGGAGAAAAAAAAAAAAAAAGTTTAAATATACACTTGAAATGGTTTCCCTTTGCGATTGGATATACACGTGTATGTAGTGCGTTTAACTCTGTTGCGTGTAAAGGTTTCAATCCAAGTGGAAAAAATTAATAGAGATGGAGCCGGTGACGATAACCGTAAGCTGGAAGTGCAACGAGTGTGTATGCGAGGATAAACACGGATAAATAACCAACGCGAGAGGGAAGGACGATTGGGGGGGGGTGGGAAGTGTAACATATACATATATATGTGCGGTTGATAAGTGCCGAAGGGGGGAGGGAGGGGATGTTGTACATATATATATATCGTGTACGCGTATCGCACGCATATATACATACAGTGAAAAGCGGTCAGAGAGAGAGAGAGAACCAATAAATCTCGGCGGGGCGTCGTTTAAGGCACGGAGCGCGGGACTAAACAAACAATAAATTCCTGCGGAGCAGTAGTTGTGCAGCTGAAAACGGACATTCCCTCTCTTTTCGAGTGTGTTTCTCTGCTGCTAGCTGCCACAGGACACAAAGGTCGCCCTGTTCTGCTGCTGCTGCTCTCTCTACTTTTTTTTTTTTTTTTTTTTTTTTTTTTTTTTTTTTTTTTTTCCTCTCCACGTCTCCCGCGCACAAAGAGAACACACAGGCTCTCCCGATGCTCGTATACTACACACTTATTCACTGGTGTGCCTGGTTTCTTTCATCTTCAGCTCGTATCCAATTTTATTTATTTATTTTTTTTGCCTTGTTTTGTTTTTGCGATACGCCAATACGCCCAGCCCGAGTTATCCTCGTTCACTCGTACATTAATTTAACGCTCCAATTAGCCACTGCACAAAGTTGTTTTTACATATATATATATATATTATATAGGTAACACATTTTTTTAAACAGTCACCACAACAACAGCTCTATACGAATTCTCAGGGAACAACTGTTGGTTGTACCTGCACGTACACAACTGGCATTGATAAATTAATCGGAGCAAGTCGACATTAGCGACTGCAGTGCTACACAATACATACGTATGCACATGGGTGTATCGAGCGCGCGCTGTAGGGCTTCCACCAGAGTGGGAGTGTAAGGGGGGGGGGGGGGGTACTGGCAAAGATACACATGCATTATAGACAGTCAACGAGTGGTACCATTAATAAGGATAATTAGAACGGCGGATCAAGCGCTGTGTGTAGCTGGGACTCGACGATTATTGTACCACTCGACAATCGTGCATTGCAGGTATTATTAATAAACAAAGGGAGGATTTATAATCAATTTTCTTTACACTCCATGTGAATCTCGTGTGAAAATCAATTCTTGTACTTACACAGAGGTATGCAATTATAAAGTATCACCCACATGTATCTCTCACGGTGTAAAATGTAAATGGAGATTATCAAATATCCGAACTTGATGGCCTAGGCTACAGTATAGGTACACTTCGTTAATCACCAGCCAAAGTGATTTTCTAAGAATCCCTCGGTTGTATTGTGCATGTGCACACACTTTGGAGAAGAGCCGAGAGAGAGAGAGTCCAAGTCGTTTTCCATTTGCCTATTGGCAGGAAAAAAAAAAAAAAAGGTATACCTAGACGACGAGAAGAAACGAAGCGAGGACCAAGTTCGACGGGATGCAATATCGCGCTGCAGGCGCTCAAGCTCATAAATGTCATTCGCGAGGGAATGGCTTTTCTAAAATGAACTGGCAAATTTATGCCCGTACGCTCTCTCTCTCTCTCGTCGCGTTATTACTTTAATTATTGTAACGCCGGCTGATATTGTTGTTATTATCGGTGCCCGAGAGAGCTTAACGAGTTTCGAAAATACAATATCGAGCCGCTCCTCTGACTGACTGTGTATGTAGGATGTGTATACATGTGACAAGAAAACAGAAGGACCGTCCAATCAGTCGAGGGAGGCATTTTTCAAATTGGCCAAAGAGCGAGCTTGTAAACAGGGCGACCGGGGTAATAAAAAGTGACGGGCCATCGATACTTTGTTGTCTCGGGGTA